CCTTTCCTCCCCAAGTTGCTTTTGGTCATGGTGTCTTATCACAGCAATAGAAACCCTAACTAAGACAGTCAACAAGATGGCTTAGTGGGTAAAGGCCTGGCCACCAAATCTGATGACCTGGGTTTAATTTTTAGGGCCCACATGGTAGAAGGAGAAAAAACAAAACAACAACAACAAAAAAAAAAAACAACTTCTGCAAGGTATCCTGTGACCTCTACATGTGTACTGTGGCACACAGGAGCAGCTCCCCCTATCACATAAACAAATAAATGCAACTTAAAAACAAAAAGCCAGGCTTGAAGAGATGGCTCAGTAGTTGAGCACATACTGCTCTTGCAAAGGACTCAAGTTTGGTTCCAAGCACCCATGCTGGGCAGCTCACAAAGGCCTGTAACTCCAGTTCTATAGGGATCCAATGCCTCTGGTCTCTGTGGGCACCTCCACTCATATATATATATATACATACATATATATATATGTATGTATATACACATATATATATGAACATACCTAAACACAGACATATACATAATTAAAAAATTAATCTCCTTTTAAAATAAAAAATAAGATAAACTTCTAGAAGCTCTACCAGACAGCCAGTTGAAGAATCTACCAGTCTGTAGCAACCCCAGAACCCAGAAAGGCCAGAAGCAGAAAACAAGGCCCAGAACACACAGATGATGCTAGAGCCTGCTCTCTTGCTGCTTAGCCTCACTCCTGTCAATCAGTGAGCTCAGCAGCCATTGACACCTTCTCATTCTAGCAACTCACTCAATGAGAACACAAGGGCGACATGTTTCCTCCCACTGGCTTTTTAGACAAATACTTCCCGCTGGCCAATAAACACTACTCCCACCCCATCTCCAAGCACAAATGCCTCCAGAAATGAGGGTGGAAAATCATATGGAAGGGGTTGTATACACACTGAGTGAGCAGCTCCAAGCTGAGCAGCTCAAAACTGAGCCATGTAGCACCTGGCACCAGGGTGCTCCCCCTGGACTCTTTGCTCTTCACAGCAAAGCCAGGAGGAGCTGGTCCATATCATAGTAACCTGAGGTTCAAATGGCAGGGGACATGCCTCAGCTTCAGAGCCGTCAGGGCTTAGAGCTGGGTGAGGTCAGGTTCAGAGAACCCCCAAGGTGAAAGGGTCAGGTGGGGAGATACTCAAGTGTGTGTGCTGGGGCTACCAGGTGGAGAGGGAATCTTCATCCAGTACCCAATGGGAGACACCCAAGTAAAGAGGGCCTCTGACGAGGGGACTCAAGTGGGAAGCTCAGGTCTGTTCTTCCTTCCCCTCACTTAGGTTCAAATAGAATAGAGCAGGAACCCCAAACATGAATGTCCTATGTAGGTGTGTGAAGCTACAAGGGCAGGCCTCCTGCCACAAGGCACATATCCCTATACACCACAGCAACCCTTCATTGCCAGCTTGGCACACTGTATGAGCCCTCACCTAACACCAGGGCAGTTACGGGTCCTGCAAAAAGCATCTTCCACTCGGCAGGCAGCCCAGCAGCACATGTAGCCTCTACGCTCTCTGCTTTCCTCTCTGTTTCCTCTCTGCTCAAATAGGAATGCCCATTCTGCCTTGCTTTGTCCTCTGGTAAGAGTTAGCCTGGGGTGCATGCAATCCTGGCACCTACAGATGAGCCACTACAAGCCAATAGGACTGTCAGCACTGGCACGAGGGTGAGGGAGTGCTCAACCACAAAGCACAGGCAGGGAAGGAGCATGGGACACAGCCATCCTGATGCTCACAGCTCCGGCCGGAGAAGGCAGCAGATGCCCTACACTGGCATAAGAAATGTCAACCAGGGGCTGGAGACATGGCTTAGAGGTTAAGAGCACGTGCTGTTCTTGAAGACCACCTGAGCTTGATTTGATTCCCCGGCACCTATGACCGTCAATAACTCCAATTCCAGGGAACCTGACACCCTCTTCTCACCTCTGCCAACACCAGGCAGGCACGCAAACAGTACAAATACACACATGTAGGCAAAACATTCATACACATAAAAATAAATAAATAAATCTAAAAAACAATTTAAAACAAGGAGAAAGGCTAATCACAGGACAGAACTGTCCCCCCTGTCTAGTCCTATGCCCCCCTTGAGTCCAGGTACTAACAGGAGCCATGGCCCTCTGAAGGGAACAGCTCGAGAGTCTCTTGAAACTGGCCCTGTGGGTCTCCGGGCAGTGAGTAGTAAGTCCACTCCCACAGGTGGATTACCTGGGTCCCTGAGGCAGCAACTGGAGCAGCCTGCTCAGGTAGATGGACGACACTGGGCTGGACAGGCTGAGGAGGCACAGGTGAGGCCAGCTGTGGAGGGGTAGCCCGTAAGCTCTGCACCGTGTGGTGAGGTGAGGGCGGGATGTCTCCAGGTGCCAGCTGTGGGAAGGCTGCTGGGTACACAGGCTGAGCTGGGAGCTGGGCTGGGAGCTGGGCTGGGATCTGGGCCACTGCTGGATGGATGGACAGTGCAGCCACACCCTGTGGGGCCACAGCCAGCAGGGGGATAGCAGCTGGTGCATTTGGCACGATGGTCTGGCAGGGCACAGTCAGGGGTGCTCCAGGGGGATGAGGCAGCTTGACAGCCTGCAGAGGCAGGGCCGGTGACGTGGGCAGGGGCGTCGTGAGGCTTGGCAAGATCACAGCAGGTGAGAAATACTGAGGTGGCGGCACAGGGGCCACGTTTGCGGCTGGCAGATCGGTGAGGGTCTGAGGGAGGCCATCAAGTCCTGCCAAGGGAGTGATGGGGGGAACCACAGGCATTTGAGGCATCTGAAAAAGGTACAGTGGCATGTTAGTCAGGCTGCCATCCAGAGGCCCGTAGCATCAGCCGGAAGCGGCTCAGCCTCCAAAGAGCTGCTGGTGATGAGACGATTCCATGCAAGTCATTGTAAAGCATTATTAAGTGTTCAAGCAGAATGGAGACCTGCCTGCTGGACTCTCCCTTGGCACCAGCATGGAGGGGACTGTGTGTCCAAATCTCCAAGGGGCTGCTGGTGGTTCCAAGGGAGCCAGGATAAGACGAATCAGAGAATGAGCACAGGCCTCTGGAGCTTCGGAGCACTTTCATTTGGGAACACCGAGATAAAGCTACCAGGCTGGCCCAGTCACCTAGTGTCTCATCAGCCTGAAGCCTCATCCTGTGAACTCCATGGAAGCCAACCCCTTGGAGGGTTCTCAGTATAACCTTCTTTGATAGATGAGGCAAGGCCATTCCCTGTGGCATTCGGCCTCTCAACAGCCGACAGTCCAGAGCCTTTTGTTTGTTCTCTCAGTATCATGCGGTACCTGACGCGGTGGGTTAAACACTGTGGACTCGACAGGTATTCCCTAAGCAGTGCCTTTTTAAATCCTTGCTCACAAGTATCACCTTAATTACACCTCTGTACAATTGCGAGGGCACAAATCCACTGTGATGCACTGAACAAACAGCTAAAGGCCACCTGTGGTGACAAATGCACCTGTAAGGAGCTGTGCTCAGCTCGCTTCTCAGAGATCTGCAGAACAGTCATCTGAAGAAAGCAGATGGCTTTCTATGCCCACTCAGTGGTCACAAGGAGAGTTCTGTCCTTGGCTTGGACTAACCCTTTTCCTATACTGGATGGCAATCCATTAGATAATGGGAAGACAGCTGCCTAACCCACTCCGAGGGACCCTATACACACCACCCTCATCCCAGAGGCATCCCAGCCTGGGAAAACAGCTTGCCTGGGCAGGGAAAAGGTGAAGCCAGAGGGAGAGGGAAACAAGACAAAGGAGGCTGTCCCCAGGGTTCCTGACCTGCTGTGGTAGTCACAGGAGCAGTCATGAAGCACTAGACATATAATACACAGGGTATGACACCATGCTCCAAGCCTGCTTCCCTAGCCACTAGCCCCTGGTGGCATGCATGAACAGGCGCAGCCCACGTCCTGGTACCCACCCCAGGTGAGCAGGCTATGGGCCAGAGGTACCTGTGGAGGGACTTGAGCAAGAGGCTGCAGAGGTGTCTGCGGCATCTGGAGAGGCTTCAGCTGAGCAGGGGCCACTACCTGGGAGGTTGGAGGCAGGTATGGAGGCAAATGGGAGGGCACTGGCTGGACAGTACCCACGGGCTGGACAGTACCCACGGGCTGTGGGGCCAGGACCTGTGACAGGGTGGGGGGCTGGGCCATTGGAAGAGGCTGGAGGAAGAAAAGGGAGCCTTGCGTTCGGACTCAAAAAAAATCCACAGTGACCCCCACACATGCACACTCGTATGTTCACACTCACTCACCTGCACATGCACCGGGATTCACACACACAGCCACATCACTTGGCATATACAAGCACGCCTGCATATACAAGAACCTCACCGCTTCATGTTTTCACACACAACACCCACAGTGAACTATATTCACAACATGCTTCCACACACCGCTCACACAAACATGCACAGACCACCAAGCTCCTGCTAATCTGGAGTCAGCTTACAGAAAACATTCTGAGTAAGCAGAGTTTTCCATGTGGAGGCCTTGCATTACAAGCTGCAGATCTGACACACACACACACACACACACACACACACACACACACACACTCGCGCAGGCTACATCCTTCGGGCTTTGGCTTAAATTGCCCCTTTATGGAGGGACAATTTAAGGGGCTAAAATGAAGTGTCACACTCACCTGCTGGACTGGGGGTGCTGGCTGACTTGGGCCTGTGGGCACAGGGGTGCTGGGTGGTGGTAGCACAGGTGTGAAGCTCATGGAAGGTTCTGGAAAATGCTGCTGGATGAGTGCAGGGCGGGCAGGGGGTGGCACAGGGCCCACTGACAGGCCAGGCTGCAGAAAATGTAAAGGCTGTATTCGGGGGCTGCCCATGGCCCTTCTTGTCCCTGTGCCCAGCCCCCTCTCTCCACCACGAACCTTGTTCCCAGGAAAGTGACTCAGCAGAAGCCAAGTGTGGTAGCCCTACAATGCCATCAACAATATTGAAAAGCTACATATGGCCACAGCTCCCAGCCAGGGAATGTTCTAGAACATAAATCCCATGGAGTAGTATGCAACCATGTAAAAAGATCATCACAGAGATTTTTCAGCACCATGGAGAAAGACGCTTAGGCTACATAGGCTGTGGGCCGCTTATTTACAGAGATGATTCAAACTATAAAAGATGAACTAATGTGGATAATTCAGATGATGGAGAGAGGGGAACACACAGTAAGTGGCTACTGGGATGGTACCAAGACACACAGACATGGGAACAAAACTAGAACAGTGAGGCCCTTCACAAGGAGAATCAGCCACAAGGGGAAAGAAACAGGACTGTGCATAGGGAGGGTACTGGTCTATGTGGCTAGCAAAAGGACAGGAAATCAGCTCAAGGGTGCCAAGGTTAAGGAATTGCTGCTGCTTTACCAATATTCTGTGGGTTTTGTTTTTTAATTTTATGTGTATGATATTTTGCTTGCATATATGTCTGTGCTCCAGGCGCATGACTGGTACCTGAGGAGGTCAGAATCGAGCATCAGATCCCATGGTACTATAGTTACAGATGGTCATGAGCCACCATGTGAGTGCTGGGAATGAAACCCATGTCCTCTTGCAGTCCCGTGCTACTAAGTCCAGGTCTCCCAGCATATTCAGTGTGCAGGGACAGAGCCTGGAGTACTTATGGGAAAATCTCTGGTTGTCCAGGATTTACTTTACAACAGTGAGGACGCTGGCAGTGGAAACACCTTTGGAAGAGGGATGGAAGTCCACTGCTCTCTAGAAGACTTCTCTAGGATGTGTTGTGTGGCACAGGGGCAGGGGTTTCCAAAACACACTCCCACTTTCCCTTTCCTGTCACTTTGTGGAAGAAAGTGGGAAGCAGGGCTGGAGAGGTGGCTCAGAGGTTAAGAGCATTGACTGCTCTTCCAGAAGTCCTGAGTTCAGTTCCCAGCAACCACATGGTGGCTCACAACCATCTGTATGACATCTGGTGCCCTTTTCTGGCCTGCAGACAGAACACTATATACATAATTAAAAAAAAAAAAAAGAATGTGGGAAGCAGATACATTTGGGATCAAGTCTCAAAGTGGGGGTTTACCTAAAGTTGTGGACAGATGAGATGGCCCAACTAGACCAGGCCAGGGCAGACTCTGGCCACTGTCCATGACTCAGGAGCTTAGGCAGGGCCTAGTGACCCCTCATCACTCCTGAAAGTCTTCTATTCCTGTGGGGGACCAAATATCCCTGTTATGGAATATTCTGGGTTCAGGCCCTGGCTGACATAAACAGTCATGGCTCCAGGAAACTCCAAGAGTCACCATTGTATTGTTAATTAACACCAGGCAGTAACTTTACCTGGCCTGAGGGTAATATGCCTCTTATTTTGCATCTGTATGGGCCTAAGCATCTGAATAGGCCCTCACCTGGGCAGAGGGCTAGAGATATGTGAGTAATGGATGAGGACAGAAGGAGAGGGCCAGAGGGAGACAGGAGGACAAAGAGAGAAATGGTTGCCTCGTGGTACTAGCATGGTGGTTAAGGACACCAGAAAAGATGGCTAATAAACAAACAGCTCTAATTCCAAAACATGGAACTGAGAGCTCTCTGAAGATGACAAGATGCCTGTGTTTGGTCTTTATCGCCGTTGGGTTACTAGAAGCTTCCAAGTCCACACACCCCCACTCAGGTAGAACCTCATGGCTGTCGTGGGTTAAAGCTGAGGCAAGCCGGGCCACGACATATTCCCCCGCCCCCTCCTCCTCCTCATCACCACCACCACCCCTGTCTATTTACCCCACTGAACCCCGGAGGTACATCGCCACAGCAGCCTTCTTCAGGAAATACAAAGAGGTCAGGATGTACCCTTCACAAGCCATCCTTTCTGTCTAAGTCATCTTTACGTCAGGAGGCAGGGAAAGAGGACCCTGAGACTGCAACTGTGATTTCTCTGTTCAGTTCCTGATTTACGTGTGAATGGTGAGATCAGCTGGATCAATGAGGATCCACAGGACAGCAGGGGCCTGGTGAGGACCAAGGCAGCTAGTACGTCCCATGGCCCAAGGTAGCCCTAACTATGATTGAAGGTATGGGAGAGGCAGGCAGGACATTCTGGCTCAGCCCCAGCTGAGCAGCCTCTGGAGCAGCAAGTCCTCTAGTATGAGGTCTTCCAGCCATTTAAAGTCAAACGTCATTTCATTTTCTGAAATGGATAAAATTGCAAATGTGCACATCACAGTAAATCCTAGGGCTTAGGAAAGCACAGGCAGACACAATCCTCAGTGACAATTGCTTTTCCAGAAGGCCTGCTAGGCCTTCCTAACTGCTCAGTCCCATGTGGACATGGACATATGTATGCAGAGGACAGAGATCACAGCACTAGCATTCAGCCAGTTCCAAAAAGCCACCACAGTCCAAGACTGACTGTAGTAGCTCATAGGAGCTACCAACTTACCAGGTGGGGGCTCCCAAGAGACCAGGGAAAACAGAGCCTACCCATAGGGTCCTAAATCACCCTCTGAGGACTCAACTCTGCCACCCAAGTCACAGGTAAATTCTCTCAGGACTGTGTAACAAGTATTTTTCAATGTTTAGAAAAAAAGGCAAAAATCACAGGGCTTGCCCTGGGAGCACGAGGACTTGAGTTTGGACCCTCAGCACCTAGGGCAAAGGGCAGGCGGCAGAGCACACCTGTGATCTCAGTGCTGGGAGGTGGGAGACAGGAGGATCCTGGGGATTTGCTGGCCAGCCAGTGAGCTCCAAGCTCAATGGGAGACCCTGTCTGAAAAAATAAGACATGGACTCCTGACTTCGGTCTCAGGCTCCACGTGTGTATGCAAGGGTGAGTGTACCTGCACACGCCACAGACACAAACATAAAATAAAATGGATGCCCTGCTTGACCCCTCCATCATCGACTTCCCAGATCTCACACCGTCTGTCAGGGACCCTCAAAGCCTGAGCCTCTCTTGCCTTCTACAATACTGAAGATGCCTCCCTGCCTCAACCTCATTTTTATCCCCCCGACTTTCAACAGCTTGGATATTCCCTATGAGGCTGGGCAGAGATTATCACAAATGATAAATTTCTATCATCTCTGGGATAGACTGGGAAAGCCCAGTGTGCCAGCATCATGCCCCTGTGTGTTGTCAGTGACAACCTCAGGATAAGGCTGGCTGGTTCTACCACAATTCCCCACACCATGGGTACCTTAAGGTCTGTTCCCAGATACTCCACACTCTTTTTCTTCACATCTAAGACTCTTCAGCTCCCAGCAAAGAGGGCCCTCCATGGACTGCATCTTCACCTCTCCCAAGGGAAATGTGGCTGGGAGTGGACTATCGGTCACTCTAACCCTGACCATACATAGCACAGCCTAGACAAGAGGCAAAGAGGACAGAGGAGGGTGGCTCTCAAACTTACCACCGCGGCCGGCTGCTGGAAGGCCCCTAGTGCAGGCAGGGTGTGGGTCAGGCCAGGCCCCTCACTCACAGGGGGGCTGCATACACACGAGGCTGGGGTTGGAGTCGTGTCTACGAGGGAGCTGAGCACCATGCTCTGCTGGCTGCTCTGGGAGTCGGAGTACACAGTGGAGCCCTGGCCACTGTCGAAGGTGCTGTCCGCTGGGGAGGACAGAAGTAGAACTTAAGGTACACACCTCTAAATGCCACCTCCTGGCACTGCAGGCAAGCATAGTGGCTTGTTCCTGGATTCCTTCTGCAAGACTAAGTCTGGATTGTTTTCATAAATGTTGTTTAAGCTGCCAGCTGCTACTCAGCAGCATGAGGTCTCAGGCCTCCTGCGCCCCTGGCCTGATGCTGGGGCAGGCAAAGTTGGCTAGCAAACCTTGTTATTCCCTGCCCACTCCAGTATGCAGGTGCAGAGGCTGCCCTTCTCTGATGGTACTTGGCAAGGCAGCCTGCCCACATAGTCAGTCAGTGAAGAATGAAAACCGGAAACCCATCTGAAACGGCACTTTGAGGTTACGGATTCCAAAAGCCACAGGCTTTACAATTTGCAACCAAAACACCAAGCTATTTTCAAAAGGGGCTTCATTTCAGAGTGAGTTCTCTGTCCACTGACAATTTAAGGCAAGTGTGTCTCTGCACTAACAATTTTTCCAAAGAGTGATTTTAACCTAGGAAGACATAAGGAATGCTGAGGTTTAATTGGGCAAAACCAATTAGACAAGCAGCTCTAGTTTTTAATGAGCCAGCTGCTCATTACAGTGAGCATTTCTACCTAGACAGACAGGAAGAGGGAGAGCAGAGTAGGAGAGGGAGGTGGGGGAGAAAGGGAGGTAGTCCTCAGGCTAATGAGATTCAAGAGGCACCAACTCCAGCCATGTGTGCAACACTTTAAATATTGCAAGTGATTTGTATAGATTACCTATATAATTAAAATTTCATTTGGATATGGTTACTGCCCCCCACATTAATTGTACTGTCATGGTCCTCAACTTAAGTGTTATGGCAGTAGAAGCTACCTGCTCAGTTCAGTGGGGCTGCTGGTGGAAGAATATTGAAAGCTAATGTGGCATGTATTGCCCAACACAAGTAGGTAGGTAGGTGCGAGTGTGTGTGTGTGTGTCTGTGTGTCTGTGTGTGTGTGTGTGTGTGTGTGTGTGTGTGTGTGTGATCCTGTTAAGTGCAGGTCCTGCTCAGGCAATGTCTTGTCTGGCGTCCTTATCAGCCACAAAGCACAGAATGGTCAGCTACTGTCAAATTCTTGCAGCCAGGTGAGAAACTGAAGACAAAAAGCCCAGAGCAGAGTGCAGAAGGCATGTAGGGATACTGTCCATTGCTGAAGAAAGGGGAATGAGGGTGTGCCTATATATGTTCACATATGTATCTCCACATCACATATGCAAGCATATATGAGTATATTCATTTTGTGTTTTGTTTTGTTTGAGACAAGGTTTCTCTGTGTAGCCCTGGCTGTCCTGGAACTCACTCTGTAGAGCAAGCTGGCCTCAAACTCAGAGATCTGCCTGCTTCTGCCTCTTGAGTGTTGGGATTAAAGGTGTGTGCCACCACTGCCTATTGAGTATATTCATGTATGTTCACACATGTATTTCCACATGTGGAGGTGCACACATGTTCTCATCTGTGTGCGTGGATAACCTGTACACCGAAGTCCACATGTGTACAGGTGTCAGTGTATGTGTGATGTATGTGTGCATCTTTATATGCACAGATTCTCTGTATATAAGGGTATGCGCAGTAGATATGCATCTGTACATATGTGTTATGTGTCTGCCTGTGTGTCCACATGTGGATGAGCTCTGTAAGACAGTTAAAAGAGTTGCAGCATCTGTTGCCTCTGGGAGGATAAGTGTCTTGCCTGTAAACCCTTAGTGGTTTAAAACTCTGAAAGCTATGCCTGTACCATCCGTCAATTTTAAAGAAAATATACTAAGTAAGCAAAAGCCCTTTGAGAAGGTCAGCGTGGCTTCTGTGCTCAGCCCATAGGTGTCCTGAGTCACAGAGGAAAGGGATCTGTTGCAGAAAATCCCTACACTTAACATGAACGCATCGCTTACTCTCCATCTCCATGAGATTCTCTCATATTGGGTCACCCTAACCACAAGAGGGACATTGTTTAGAAGTCCCAAACTGAAAAAAAAAAAAAAAAAAGTCCCAAACTGGGTCTCTTTAGAGTACAAAATGCAGAGCTCAGCTTGGAGTGAAGTAAACAGTGGGCAAAGTATTTCAAAGTGAGGGCCACTCATTTGCATCTAAAGCAGTCGTCTTGGACGCTATTTGAGTCATGAATGAGGGGGTTGCATATTAAATAAACAGGGTCTCAGTCTTTCCACATGAGCAATCTCAAGCATTGGCCCGGGCAGGTCACTGGGCTCTGCTGATCTGCTCCAGGCCGGTTCCCAGAGTGGGCAAAGCCATGTCTCCTGTCTCAGCTCACTGCTGAGTTTTCAAACATGAAAAGCAAACGGGACACTGACTTCCTTTCCTGAAAAGGTACTGGATCTCTCAGGACAGTCTCTGATGAAGCCTGCATCCAATCCATCTCAAGAGAAACAACACCCTGAAAAGGGACAAATGGTCTCAGAGGCTTCTAACTGAAGACAGTAGCAGAGATGGACAATCCCAGTGATAAACACTCCTAGTCAAAACAGCCACCACTCAGTCCACTACACAGCCATCCCCCCCAAAGACTGGGTAATGGTAGCTCATTTGTATGCTGCCATGAGGCCAGGACTGCTCCTCTGAAAGAGAATAAAGAACTAGTTGCCAGTCCACAGATTCACAGTGTGGAACTGAGGTGGAACTGGCTCCCTCAGACCCTACTAGGTCATGGACATCTGACCTGAGAAGCCAGACTCCAGCAAGCCTCAACCCCTCTGGTCACAAGTCCCTGAGGAATGTAGGGAAAATCCAATCCTTTTCCAAAAACAATCATCCAGACCCTACAGGGCAGGCAATGGGACCAAACCTGGGCTGGCCAAGGAACCAGGACCCATGTATCCTAGCACTTGGGGCCATCTGTCAGACCTATCACCCCTGGACACGCCCTTAAAAAAATCATCAGTGTGCCCTGGCACCAAGATAGCTGGCAGGAAGTGACCTTGGAACAGGAGACCAAAGCCTAGCCAAAGCTTCAGGGGACCACCTATAGTTAGAACCAATGACCCAGCTTCCTGAGGACAGCCTGTAGCGCACCAGACTGAGACAGGAGCTTACCAGGTACCTGCCTTTCTCACAGAGTGTTGTGGTAAAACATAAGCACTCTGCTTTGCTTTGCCCTGAAGCTGGTTATGCTGGTGGTGGTAGAAGGAAAGACACAGTTGGCCATGGTGACCCCATTCCACGTACTCACAGGCTAAGGAGGTAACGCTAGCTGGTAAGGTAGGAGGCAGGAGATGCTGGTCAGCCTCAGGTTCCTCAGCTTCTGGCAGTCCAGGCTGCCCGCTCTGTGCATGGTAGGTCACCTGGACCTGTAGAGGTGCTGGCAGACCCTTGGCCTTGTCAGGGCTGCCCGAGTCCTTTGGCTCCTGAGACTGCAGCGCAGGCCAGATCCTCTCTCGGCGCCACTGGATTAGTGCCACCCGGTCACGGATGGACTTGGCCACAATCTTCACATCACTCTCATGGAAAAATCCAGAATCAATCTGCAAAGGCAGACACATGGTCAGTCGTCTTGGGGATCAGCCATCCTGCATGCACTCCCCCCCCCCACACACACACACGGTGTCCTACTTAGGACTACCGCTACCACTTACTGCAGTTCCCAGGACTCCTCAGTCCCAACACCTGCCTGGGAAGTTCACAGACTCCTGCCCAGCAAATATTCAAGGACCTGGGAAACCCTGACCAGCCTGGAAGGAGGAGACCCATTTGGTCATCGGAAAGCAGTATGGAGAGCATTGGCGTCTAGTAAAATCCTAAACTCCCTTAACCAGCAGAGTGATTCACGATCTCCAGGAAACACAGTGAGCTCCCTGGGAATATCTGTGGTAAAGTCACTTCCTGAGACAGAGGTCTCTACTAAGGCTCTGTTCTGGCTGGACTACAGGGGCTGACCAGGACTAGTGAAAAGCCAGGATTGGGTTCCTTCCCTTTGTGAAGACCTCAGTTCTAGAGACTGAGTGTGGTTGCTGGAGAGATAGCTCAGTTAAGAAGACCAGAGTTCTGTTCCCAGCACCCATGCTAGGTGGCTCACAGCCACCAATAATTCCAGCTCCAGGGGACCTAACGCCCTCTTCTGGACTCTGTGGGCAAAGCACACATGTGTGTATTACACTATCACCACCCCACCCCCATACACATAAACTAAAAATAAATCTTTTTGAAAAGAAAGAAAAAAATAGATTTTTTTTTTTTTTTGTAAGACAGGGTTTCACTGTGTATCCCTAGCTGGCCTGGAACTCACTTTGAAGACCATGCTGGCCTTGAACTCAGAGATCTACCTGCTTCTGCTTCCTGAGAGCTGGGATTAAAGGTGTGTACCTCTATACCCAACAAGAAAAATAAATTAATTTTAGAAGAGACCAGGTGGGGTTTTGACTGGAACACTGCAGAGTAGGGATACAGGGGTGTCCCAGTGTGGGAACTGGCAATACAAAAGAACACATGTGACAGGCTGTGTGGGCCAGCCACGCTCCTCCCACACAGAAAGGCAGGAATGTGGAATAAACCCATAGTGTATTCCTGACCATAGCTGGGTCCCTGCACTATCAGTGAAGTAGACATGACCCCAGAGGCACATGGATGGCACTTGTGTACAAATGTACAGATAACATGTCCCTGTAAGCTGTGTCTACCGTGAGGGCCCAGAAACAACATCCACAATCCCGAGAGGCCACAGGAAACCAGAGCTGCCACTGGGCTCAGTAGCTCAGGGCTGGGCAGGAGAAGAAGGAGGTTGAGCCAACTGCCTGGACATGCTCAGGGAAGGACGGGGACGTGCAAAGTGACATGGGAGCTGGTACTGGGGCAAATCCAGGACATCTGAACATCAGAATGAGCAACACGGTGATGCTGCAAAGGGCATTCTCACAAATCCTAGCACACATTTTCCATAAGCAGTGTGCAGACCACCTGTGGGGAGAGAGGGACAGGGCATCCTGCTGGAATCAGGGAGAGAGGGACAGGTAGGGAGATGGGAAGGGTGTCTCACCACCCTTTCCATGACTGTCTCTGTGTAATGTCCCTATCCCTCCCACACCCCTTTTCTCTCAGGCATTACTGCTCTGGGTGAAGCCACACCATAAGCTGCTCTCTGTGGAGACCCACCAGCAGGGAACTCGGGTCCTTTGCTACACGGGCCACCAGTCCTGTCTGATACCTTTACAAGCTTCCTGGGGCCAAAGACCCACCCTGAGGCCCACTAAGAGCATGGCAGAGCTATGAGATGGGCCCATGTGTGGCTGTTCACAAAACAGCCCTCATAGGGAGAAGGTACAGCTTTCAGTTTGTCACATGTGGCAACCAGGCTTGGCAGAGTGGAGATACACACGGTTTATTATTATTATTATACCATTTTGGTTTTTTTTTTTTTTTCAGACAGGGTTTCTCTGTGTAGCCCCCAGCTGTTCTGGAACCTACTCTGTAGACCAGGCTGGCCTCAAACTCAAAGATCTACCTGCCTCTGCTTCCTGAGTGCTGGAGTTAAAGGTGTGTGCCACCACCATTTGGCATTTATTATTATTCTTCAAGTTGATACAAGTCATGTCCTTTCTACAAGGGTGCCCTTCTTATAGATAGCATGCCTTATAATGGAAAGAAAATGCAGTTCGAGGCAGAATGGAGAGAAGATAAGGTGTGTGTGTAGGTGGGGAGATTCAGGAGAGAGTGCTGTGCCCAGGGACTTCCCTGGAACTGATGCAGGGACATAGCCTGGGAGTTCAGCCAAATGCCAGGGACCAGCTGAGGTGACTGACCCGCAATGGCCCTATCCTGTGGGAAGCCCTTCCCTCTGCGTTATGAAAAGCAGAGATAGGGTAGAGCCGCGGGTGTCAACTGCTTCAGAAGCAGTTAAGCAGCACCCAAGAAGGGTACACAGGGTACGGGTTAGGTTTAGGACACTGTGTCTTTCAGGGAACTAAAGACAGACCGGGAAGCTAAGGTCTGGGTGGAGCCTGGACACTCAGAATCTACCTGTTGGGGACCTTGACATCATTATCCTGGAAGCACCGCCCATGCTGCAATCACTCACACTGAGTCCCAACATTCCCTTATCACATCGTAGCCATCCTGTGGCCCCTATCAAGACTCCCAAATCCCTCATGCCCTGGCTGGCTCAGGACAGAGCAGTCAGAATCACATTTGTAACACAGCCCCGGCCTCTTTTATGAAGGCAAGAAATGTTATTTTACTTGAAAAAACTCAATCATGTTGAAACCACAATGACAAATCACGATCCCCATCCTTACCTCTGGTGGCCCCAAAAGACACTCCTTGCAAGGTCAGAACAGTGTGGTTTTTCCCCAGGATCCCTTGATCTGATACACACAGGAAACTCTCCCTCCAATCCTCCTTCCCACATCTGTCATTCCCCAGGCCAGTACCAACTGACCAGCACAGTGTCCACAGTATGCTCTGAGGAAGTGGATGACACTAAACTCCAGCTGTCACACTGCAGCTGGCACGCCACCTCACATGGTGCTCACTGTTCTCAATAAAAAGCATGGAGGGACAGCTGCTAACATCCACGAATAGTAACGTGTGCTGGTAACCAGCTGAATGTATGCAGTCCCTCTTGAGGACTGAATTGTAAACACACAGTGTACCATATATAGTTACTACTGGCCACCACCGTGAGCCATGTAAGGCCCTCCAAGAGCATGGAGCTAAAGAGTCCCATGAGTTGTGTTCACAGCAGAAGCTCTTCTGGCGGGGATGGGATGGGAGGCAAGCTTTGTAAAGAGAGTGAGTCGGCCTGGTCACATGGGTGACCACTTTGTGCCTCTTGGGATGATGGTACAGCCTTCCCCAGAGAAGCAGCTGGACTTCAGCTCAGCAATAGTTTGTCACATCCATCCTCACCTGTACTACACCACACAGCTGCTGCACGGGAAGACCCAGCCCTGTCTAGCACAACAGCAGCCCTTGGAGGTCTCTTTTCCCTCTAGAAGCGGGACCTGAGACCCTGCCCTCAGCTGTACTTCAGAAGGCTCACCAGGAGCACTCCATCCTGCAGCTGTGGCACCAGGACCAGGGGGCAACTTTACCCCAGCAGTGCTGCGCCCTTTCCACCCCAGCTCCCTAGGAACCAAGGATGCTGGGTCCTGCTGCCAGGCTACTTCTCCATCCTGCACTGACCTCTGTGCAAAAGTTAAACGTACTGTGGGCTCTACATGCTATAGAGTCCCCTCCTGAGGCCCAGTAAGACATCCCAAGCAGAAAGGGGTCTCCCCTCCTCACCCACAGTCAGGCAGTGGGACACACCTGTGCTCTTCCATCACCCCTCAAGGTGTTAATGTACCAGAACCCCCAAAACAATACAGAGCATCTCCAAAGCAGGAGGGACAAATCACATGTTCAAAGCCACAGCCCCGGAGCAAACTGGCAAGAGTTTGGTTAAGGCAAGCAAGGCCCTTCACTCTCTCCCCTTTCATTTGATCCCTTCCCTGAGCAATGTCTCAGATGCCCGTCTCATTTCCTAGTCCTGTGCAGTGGAGGTCCTTGGCCCTCCTGTCACTGTACACACCTGACCACACAGCAGGGACCCCGAACCCTTTCTCAGGACTGCCCCAGCCCTCCCATGCATGCTGGCCATTTCCCTGGGGGCACATGCCCTTCTGGAAAAGCAATTGATTTGTGACTTTTTTTTCTTTAAACCCAAACCCACCCAAGGGTAGTCTGAGCCCCTTTGAGTGCACATTACCATTTCCTGGGCCACCTCATCAGGGGTCTCTTTCTCCAAGTCAAAGGTAAACTCTATGGCTCCATTGTCTTTGGGCTTGCCCTTCAGCTTCTTGGGGTCTTCCACCCAAAGCCGCAGGGCTATGGTAGATTTTCTGCCATGGTCCTCTTCTGCAAGTTCCACTCGGACGCCTGTGTCTTCCGCGAAGAAGGCATGGCTCAGCAGGTCCTTGATCTCATACCTGGAGGGAGAGTGGTTCCCAGGCAGGGCTCAGGGACAAGGAGTTTCCACATCCATCTACAAGCATCAGGGCACCACCCAGCACACTGAGCAGGCTCTACCCTCAGCGGGTAGTACACAGGTGTGCACACTAGCGTTCCTTAATTCCCAGCAGATGCTGAGAAATTATGATCTGATATGCTCCTGTTTCTTATTGCAATATTTTAAGACACCCACCTCCCCCAAAGAAATCATACCCTGTACCAGGCCATCTGCTAGGCAGATAGAAACAGACCCTGCTGAGGTACAGGTGAATGTTCAATCCGCATCAGAGACTCCTGGCTCAGGGGGAATGAGAGGAACTAGAATCCCAATCATACAAAGAACCTAGGGTCCCTGGGCTTCACTGCAGCAGTGAGGTTAGTGGGGAGCCTCTCTCAGGAGGAAGGAGTGTGGAAGAATAAAGGCAGACAGACAGAGATAAGTAAGGACTGGCTAGACTTAGGGGTTTGGAGTCAGAACCCAGCCACAGGAGGCTCCACCTGTGGGCCAGGTCATCTGGCAGCTGGGTGTTACTCTACGGTCACTTCCAGCTGCAGGAAGTCATGCCTCCCAAACGCGTCCTAACTACTGGGTCTGGTGTGTTCTCTAGCACAAATGTAACTGACCACGAAACATCCTCTGTCCTAAGTCTGGCTTCTTCTGGGCATTGTGTCGATGGCAACAAACACCAGCTGCCCATCCCCGTCTACTCCTGAGAATGTCATCTGGATGGGTGAGCATACCCCAGCTTGTTTTGAGGACTAAGAAGGCTAAAAGGCACCCCGAGCTTCCTGGTTGTCCAGCTGGGAAAGGCAGTCCTGTTTTGAAGGGGAACTGGCTTTGTAAAGCAACTCGAGGGTCCCGAGGTGAAATCTGTGGCCTGAGAGATGGATGGGTAAGTATGCTCCTATGTACAGCCTGCTGTTCACAAGAGCCGACAGGGCTGAGGCACGTGAGCAACCTGGGTATGGAGATGTTCCTTAAGGGCCTGGAAATGGGGACAACTAGAGAAGAAGCAAAGGACAGAGCAAAGGTCTGGGCGCCTCAGCACTTCAGGCTGGGTTAGGAGCCTATCTCAGGACACAGGAAAGGATGTGAGCACTGCACTGCTTGCAGCAATTCACAAGCCTGGTATCACATAGCTTGAGCCAGTCTGCCTGACCTGGGGAGTTTGCATGGAGAATGCCGCCCAAAATGCCAGCTGGACCAGCATCAGCTGGAGGGCACCGAGCCCGGGGAGCCGGAACTCACCGTTCCTCTTTGTTCTTGCAGATGCACTCCCCGATGATCTCCTTGATCTCAGGATCGTGCACCTTCTCGAAGCTGGCCGGCTTGATGCCCTGAGAACACAGCAGAGTTATCTGGCACCACCCAGAGCCAGAGGCACCATCGACACCCCGGTGTCTCCCATGGCTCAGCTTGCCACTCAGAGCACTTCCCAGCCTGAGTCCTGGGACCCAGCAGAGCCTGGGGTCTCAATGAGGGTGAGGGTGGAGCTGTGTTCAGGGAAGCTGACGGGGCTATGAGGCAGAGTTCTGGAAAGGAAAGAGTGATAAAGAGCCCAGATCTACAATCCCCTCAAGCCTTTCCTTAAAACCAAGATGAGTACTTCCTCAGCACCTCAGATCTTGGCGAAGAAACACCAAAGGCCTTCAGGCTGAGCCTGAAGGGATGCTGTAATGGTACAGTCTGTGTTGACTCAACAAAAACTACTAGAAATTCTAGAAGGCAAGAAGACACAACTCACCCGGAAGAAAATCCAGTCAACAGCAATGAGAGTGTGCTGTGGGTTGGAGGCAAGGGGCAGGGGTAAAACTCATAGCAGCTGTTCAGTAGTGGGGAAAAACTTCTGGTAAGCAGCAGCAATTATAGATACAAAGAACTGACTAGAGATGGAAACCTTACAGAAGAGAAGACAGGGCAAGAGAACTGTTGGGCTTGGAGCAGAGAGACAAATGGACACACAGCTCTGTTCCCTTCACTTTAGAATCTGTGACACTAACAAGGTGCAGGTTGGCACATAATATATATAAAAGCAAGACTCCAGGAGGACAGGATGGGGAGCAGTGAAGGAAAATAAGACATACTTGGAAATACATGATGGCTTAGGCAGTAAATGGTTGCTATGTAAGCACATGGACCTGAGTTCAGATGTCTGGCACTCAAGTAAAATCCAGGCTTGTTGGCACATGCCTATAACCCCAGCACTGGGAGAGATTGAGACAGTCAGATCCTGGGGGCTCATGGGCCAACCAGTCTACAGCTCTAGATTCAGTAAGAGACCCTGTCTCAAAAGTAATGTGGAGAGTCAAGTAAGGAAGATACCTTGATAACTTCTGGGAAAACACACACACACCCCCACACACACAACAAACCACAACCACACAC